AAAGTGTTTAAATCAAAGAATCAAAGTTCACATGACCACAGAAATACAGGCTATGGCTTTTTATTAAAAATAAAGGATTCGGGCTCTGCATATGTCACAGACATAATAAAATACACGTCAGCAAACTACCTGTAAGTTAATTTTACTAGCCATGAGAAGTGCTTAGTTAACAATACTGAAAACTGAAGCAGCAGCAGAACAACCTCCAACACAATCAAACTCCTATTCAACAAGAAGGAATCCATTTCTGAGAACTGGAGTATTAAGGCCTCCAAATCCATTTCATTTGTTATTTTTGTGAATACACAATCCAAATAGATGACAAACAGGGGAGTTGTGTCTGCGCACAATAAGCCTCCATTAGAAATTGGAATGCAATCACCAAAGAGTGTTCTGTTAGCCTCTCAAAGTCAGTAGAATACTATTGCCAATAAAGCACCATCCAAACCAAGTGAACTACTTACCAGAAGGGAAAGCATTCCACATGTTGCCAATGTTCTGGGTAATGTGTGATCTGCTAAGCCAAATTTAGGAACAGCACAGACTTTTCCTATACTTCTTTGACTTCCTTCGAAAAAGATTAGACATTACAGACAGCTAGGCAGTCATTAGTGGAGTTTGCATACATTGCTTTCTCTAGTGATTTCCTGCCAGACTGTGAAAGTGAGTTTAAGCTACCCTTATTGTGGTCTGGAAAACTGATGTCACCTTTCAAAAACCTGATTCTAAAACTTTTCAGAAAAAAATAAGCTTTTCTAAACACCCAAAATGTAATACGTACTTACATACCCAATCACTACTTGACCGTGTTAAGTATACCTCAAATTCTGAGACACATTACATATGCAAGCCTAAAAATAGAAATCCTGACACTACAGTTCCCTCTCATTACTGTTACAAATTAGAGACCACAGTGTTATTAAACTTTCTGAACATGCCCACTTCAAAGCCTGCACTTGTAATATCATGAAGGAATTCTAGGTTCTGTAACAGAACCTTATCCAGAGAATTGCCAGGGCATCTTTGCTACTGTTCTCCCCTGGGTCAGAGCTCAGCACCTGACAGCCTCTCTGGAAAGAGTTAAGGTTGTTACAACCACTGCAAAACAAAAGCTGGCTATTTAAGACATTCTGAAAGCAAGTATTTCAAAACCACCATCACTAAATGAATCATAACATTTCTCTGAAATCAACAACCAAGAAGCAACATTTAAACTTAAATATCAGACTACCAACATTTATTCATGAAAGATATTCACGTTTTCCTATACAAAAACACTGGATATCTTTGTTTTCAACCAAGCTTTCTTGGTTGCCACAAATAGCCCACATCATTCACCTAGGAAATGGGTTCAGCTGGAAGGAGGGGTGGGTAAAGATGGTAAGGGGATCCATACCTTGCATATGGAAAGCATCAAACTTTCATAAATCTATCTTGCTACTTATTATGATTGCAGAATAATTTTAATGTAAATCATTACATTTAAAGAAGTGCAACCAATTAAAAACCAAGTGGTTTGGGAAAAGATTAAATTGATGTTTCAGCTGATCTGCATTTGGATTTTCTTGTATCACCCTGAAGAAAAAAAAAATGTCCAGTTCATTTAGAGAATTTTACAGCTTATTTTTCCATTTGTCAGCTCTCTTTTGGTCAGCTGCTATCCTCAAAAAAGAAGATACAACCTCATTTTGCTTTAATAATTCTTGCCTTTTTTCCTGGACTTTGTAGAAAATAGGATAGTACAAACACTGCGAAATAAGTTGAGAAACCCTTATTATTGGTAAGTACCCATAAGACTACCGAAGAACAACAGCAACTGGCAAATTTATTTTAATGCAATCATAAACCTGGAGAAAACAAATATAATGTCACAAATAAAAGAGCAGTTGCATTACAAAAATATTGCAGTACCAGAACAGTTTTCTGAGGTGAATCTGAATAAACATCTCCATGTGTACCCCAGGCCTCCTACAATCTAAATTTAACTGAAAAAAAATAATAAATGCATCATAGAGGATAAAAATGTAACAAACACCATAAGAGATACAGGTGGAAGAGCATATGTTGCCTTGGAAGTCATACACTGGCTGGTTGCCTTGCCCTCTTTAAGGGTGAACAACCCACACTTCACTGTTAGTCATCCCTAAAAGGTCTGCAAGAATCATCTTCCCAAGGCGAGAAAAGCACCCTGAGCAATCCCTTGCAAAAACATGCCTGGCAAATAGCTAGCTCTAAAGGTTTCACTCCAAGATGGCTGAATGAGCTCATTTGATATTTTGCTACTAATATTGGCCACTCCTTTCCCTTCTCGCCTACAGCCCTCAGAGCGTGCAAAAGATAGGAGGCTACTAGCATGAACAATTACATCTTATGCTATCATTCATCAGAATCTGATGCAGCATTTGACTACCAGCAAGTTAAGAGAGCTAAGGAACTCATAGGAGAGAAAAGTAGCGAGATGGGTGTCCTCCAAAGAGAGTCAAGAGAGTATGATACATTAATAATGAACTCGGCCAGTAACTGCCAGAAGATAAAGAGACCTATGCTCAGGAAGACCAAATAAATGAATTCTTAATGCAAGAAACCAATTTCACCCAGCAGGAATGGAGCAGACAAGATGTCTCAGCATATCAACCTTCTCCTTCACTTTTGGGAAGAATGGAAAACAGTACAGGAGCTGAAACACCTACTGATCAAAGGGATGTGTTTTATTTCAAGACAGGAGATGCTTTCTATTCACAAAACCCATCTCCATGCTGGAGAGCCCCGCCACCTAAACCAGGACCTACAGGAATGTCACGGCTGGCTGCCAAAGCACGCTCTCCCCAGCACAGAAACAGCCTTTCTCACCTCAGCACCACCTCCAAAATCTCGTGCCCCAGCCGTCTGCTGGAGCCGGTACTTTTAGCACCTACTCTCTCACGACAACACCACAGGAACAGTAATGGCGAGGCTCCTCCAAAGCACTGAGATGTGGAGTTCCCACGCATAACATCCCAGCACGAAGCCAAGCCTTGCGTTTTGAGCTGAGTTGTTACAGTTAAAGCTATAAGAAATCTTCCACCACATACACGTATTTCACGAGGGAACTGGAGTAACTTACCATCACACACTCCCCGCGTGCAAAAGCGGATCTTAAAAAGGCGTCTTTTTCGCTTTCAAGGAAGAAAGAAACGAGGACAGGCACCACTCAAACGGACGGGGGCTACAAAACCCTTCGTTCTCCCACTGGGCAGGTGAAGAAAACACCCAGCAGCAACGAGCTGGTGACTGCCTGACTGACAAGCAGCGCGGTGACCCCGTGAAGCAGCCGCGGGGCGCTGAGGAAACCTCCCCGGGACCGCCGCGCGCCGGCCTCCGCCCTCGAGCAGCGCTGGGAGCGGGGCGTTCCCACCAGGCACGCAGGGAGGGGCGAGGCGGGCGCCGCTTCGTGGCCCTGCTGCGAGTACTGGAGAAAGCGCGCCCGCCCGCCCGCCTTCCTCCTCCTTCTCTTCGCAGGCAGCTCGTACGGCCGTGAGAGTCAGGTAGATACAAGGAGCCTCTCTCCCGAGCGGTGACGGGGCACGGGGTAGTGCTTTCTGTCATTAAAATTCAAGGCAGTGCTCCCAGCAGGTTGCCACAGGAGCACCTGTGAGGAGCGGCGCCGCCACAGCTGGGAGCGAGCCGGGACGGTGGTTGTGATGGGAAGGGGGTCCAACCCGCGCCTCTCTGCCTGCAGGACTGGAAAGAGCCTCTGGGGCAGCGCTGGGGAGTTGTCCTGAGGCGGGAGGGGTAGCGTGTCCCCGCAGCATCCTCCCTCAGGCGGGCGGGGGCGAGGCGGAGGATCGTCTCCGTCCTCAGTGTCGCCACAGGGAAATTAAGTGTCACTTAATGGAGGGGGGGG